TAACTAATGAGTAACACATTGTTAGACTTTTATAAATCTTTCCAAGCATTTTCATATCTAAGTTCTAACTAAATGGCAGGGTTAGGAAACCAACCGCAAAGCTGCTGGTCTATAAATATAACATGGTTAATTATATAAGGTTCCTAAGGAACAATGAGTTCACTGAAACAGGAGGGAAATAGTTACCTCCATTTTTGTCAGCCACTTACCATCCCACCATCTTCATTAAAAACGTTATGCAGTTACACAAGGATGGCTGAGCAGAAAATGGACAGAAGAAAAAAAATATGTACAGGAAAAGATTATGAAAGAAACAAGAAACATGATTTATAATACTATTAAGAAAGAAAAAATAATAAAGGCAGAGGAAGAACCCACAATCCCTTCCCAAAATCAAATTTCATTTCTTTATACTATAAAAACTTAAGAGTTCGGGATTATAATTGAAGACACACTACAGAGTTGTACAACTGTAATTAACAGTTGTAGATGAACTAACCCCAAGGGTAAAACCTTGATTTTATATGTCCTACCCGAGAATGCAGTTGAAACTGCAAAACAAGAAAATAATCGAAATAAAGTGTATTTCAATGGACTCTACTGAATTTGAACACAATTTGAACCATGAATGAACACATTATTCTTTTTTTCCCTTAGTTACTAATAAGTTTAAAGGCAAAAAAACCCTAGGTCACCTTAAAAATCTCTCAGTCTTCCCACTAATTTACAAAAAATTCAGTTAAAAATACATTTTTTACAACTGGAAGACACTCCCAGATGAAGTCTTCAGTTACTCACCAAAGTAGGGATAATGCTTGTTAATGTGATTTTGTCTTGTTCTAAGATTAGGAGACAAACTGTAACTGTGTCCATGCTAAATAAAAGAATCTATTTTATTCATACTTAAATTTAAGACAGCTTACTGAAGTTAATGGGTCCTATATTGGGAAGTGTATTATAATACGTGATTACCACAATTATCACACCTGGAACGCAACATGGGTATCATTCAGAGAACAAAATTTGTTAGGAAAAAGGAGAAAGATTATTTCTAATCTAAATTACTAAAATAAACTTCTATTAAATGCACCCAAAGTAAAAATTTTCCAACAGACACAGCCTTAGCTTGAGGCTCTCTCTTCAAAAAGTTATTTGTGCTAGTCTTTCCCCTTGTTTCTGTGCACAATTTGACAGTGACAATGTGTTAAGAATTTCCACAGAAGATATATTAAAAATTAAGCTCACAATTGTATATTCTATTATAAAACTTATGCCTTCTAGTGTAATGCAAATGTAAATAAAGATATTGAATGTAAATGATAACCAATCTATTACAAGTTTTCTGAACCTAGCTGCAAACATTATAAATTTTCAAGGTTTGCAATTTACAAACCATGCAAAAAGTGAACATTTTTTAGACTTAAGACACTTAGCAATTTGAATCAACTGAATTAATTTAAATGTTGTTTTAAATATGAAAAAAGGAATCAGAAAGATGCAAAAGAAAATCACTACTCCTCTTTCAGAACTTATGTCATTGAACAAACTAAACAGTACCTTTTACCATCCTAAGGACATTTTAAGAAGAAATCTGATATACATAAAAGGAGACCAATTATTTTAATAAGACCTTAATCTTAAAAATAAAATAAAAATTGGTATGCCAATCTTAATTAGTAAAGAGAAAGAAAACCATCAAAAGGGAGATATTCATTACTTTCTTAATACAATCTCTCCTTCCTCTGTAAATTCACAAGAATTACATCTAACAATTTTAATAGAAAAAAATTTTATTTATAAATTGTAACCTATAAAACTTAACTCTGAAACCATTAACTCAATCTTCTTTTTCTGCTACCACCAAATATTTATTCTGAATGGTCATTATAACAAAACTAAACCATGCTTTGTTATGATTCTAGACTAAGGTGTTTACTCTATTTAATGAGTTGCAAATGTTAAAACAATCACACACACACACACACACACACACACACACAAATCTTAGGCCCTAATAACAAATTCTCAGTTACTGCATTCACGTTAGAATACTACATAAAATTTCAATAAAGACTAGCAAACCTATACGATCAAGGCACTAATATATAAACAACCACATTTCTTCAATATTTTCCAAAGAGAACACCACCAATTTTCTTTATAAATACTTATAAAACCAGGCTCAGAAAATCAGATATTTCTGCAATAACAAAAACTCGAATGTGGTCAAAATAAAGATTTCATATCCTATGAAATCATGAACTCTTTCAAAACTTACCTATACATAAGACTAGAAAATTCCAGAGTCTATATTAGACAAGAAATAACCAAACTTCAAATACTTAAATCCACCCTACTGCTCCAACAAAATACAACCCAATCTTTTATAAACAATCTTACTTTAAAACAGACATAAAATATTAAAAAGTTAACATTTTCTTTTGAAAAGGTGAATACTGAAAATAAAGATTATCTATTTAAAAAGCAGTACCATTAGTTCAACTTAATTACCACATTAAGTATTTTTGCTAGCAGGATTATGACATACAGAAAACTATAAATTTGCTTATCAAAAAGGAAGTGGTTTTTATACCAAGCCTATGAAAAAACAACTTAGGTTAAGCTGCATTCTACTTAACTAAATGTATTTTATCTTAGTTAAATATGATGACTAATGCCCCATGTTTATTGTTTGGGATGGACACCAACTTAAAATGGGGCATAGGAACTGGGGGCTATTCCATTAAGAATATAACTGGGGGCATAAAAAAACAAGATCTGAATACAAGAAAAATTTTGAGAAATATCTTTAATCAGTAAATTTTTTGATTTTTAAAGATTTTTATAGACTTAAAACCAAAGCAATGACTTGTAACAGTGATTCTGGTATCTTTCATTGCATATTCATGCTTGTTATTGTTCAAAAAATAAAAAAATTAACCAGAATGCTAATGGGGAACCATATTAATTTAATATGCTTAGAGGAACTATTAATTTTCTGTCTTTAAAAAAAAACAACCTTCAAACCTTTTCAGAATGTTAATTTCCCTGCCTAGTATGGATTTATACTAAAAAAAAATCAGCAATGATTAATGATCTCTGCATGATTATTTAAGTACTCAGAAGTACTAAAAGATGAAGTTGGTCCATAATAAAATCTGGAAATTTACTTCACACTTACTAACATGAACATATTTCTTTATAATATGTATCTTTCAAAGGCAATTCCCTACTTCCTTAAAATAAATTTGGCTAATTAAGCATCTATTAATAAAAAACTATAGATTCATAACACTATTACTCCTAACAGTTTTATAAAGACAGAGGGAAAGGAACACACAGTATACATCTGACAGTTGTCTCATCTGTCCCCAAATTAAATCCTTCTGTACTATTTTCAAAATGTGCTAATGTACATAATAAAATACTAGAAAACACAAGCCTAAATACCAAGAAGTATTACTCTGAAACAAAAGAATACATGAAAATAGTGGATGAAGAAAATGTGTATATGTATAAATATATATACATTTACACACAAAACATGAGTTAGCATATTTACTGTATCATATTTAGTTAAGATGAATACATACAAACACACGTTAAACAAAATAAAGCAAAGTAATACCCATTCAAATGTAAACAGCAGTGAATAGTACAAATAAATAGAAATCATATTCTTGTCTCACTAAAAGCAATGTGATACAGACCTTGTTCAGAGTACTGTATTTAGTTTTGAGACTTGCACTTAGTATTACTTGAAAAGTAATATATAGATGTGGGAGAACATTTAAAGTAAGGTTGAAAAGAACAGCAAAAGGTTTAAACAACATATGAAGAAAAAGTACTAGATTTAGGATGGGCTGGGTTAGGAGGAAGTAAATGGGCCATGAAATATTACCATGTAAAACACCTGAAGGATCATAACATTTTTTTTTAATAGCATATAACTAGCTAGGGTTTCTTCCTTAAAAAGAGCAAATCAAAGATGAGGATGAATTACAAAATCTCAGAAATGAATTCCATCTCAGTTTCTAAATTTTAAGTGACAAAACACAATCTAATAAAGAAAACTATCCAATGAGACATATAGTTGGTCTACAAAAAAACTGAAACCAGGAGAACTAAAATATCCTGCAAGACAAATCTTACAATTAATGCTAAGGACCTGTCCAAAATATTTTTTTATATTAGAATTATACAATGTTAAATAAAGTAAAGTGATATATTATCAGAATAACCTGAAAAGCTTTTTCTAAGTATACAGTGATTTCCCTATTTATCCATTCCAGAACCGGAGAGTGTGGAGGGATAGGGGGATGGTTTGAGAAGGGTGATGAATATGGATATACTATATATTATGAAAATGTATACTATGGAGAAAACCACCCAGGTGGTTGATACATCTACTGCTATACAGCATTTGATGGAGAATTTAAGTGATATGCTAATTATAGCTTAGAAATATTTTTGTCATATAGATGAATTTGAAGAAACATAATTTTACCTGTATAATGAATAGAAAAATCAACAGAGGTGCCTATATCAAGTATTTCTTATATATTTAAGGTAGTTAAGAAAAAATACTAGTATTTTATGAAAAGTTAGATTTAGGTATGAGCTATAAAACTACCCAATATTATCTACAAAACAGATACAATTAGTTTAATATTCAGTTGTAGAAAAACTATTCTAGTCCTACCCAACTCTACTAAGGCGTTTTCATAATAACCCAAGGGATTAACAACAAAAAATTATAAAAACATTTAAAAAACAATTTTATATAATTTTTATTTACACTTTAGGATTTAAACAACTTGCTGGGAACATCCTTTGTGAGGCAACATAGTCTTTTTTTTAAATTTGAAACTATTTAAACTTCAAGATAGGCTCACTAATTTTTTTCAAGGGCAAGCAACAAATGTGTTAGCTGAAAATAGCCAGTTTAATGATTATTTGTAACAGAGACTTGATTATGTGAGCCTAGAGAGCCTCCCCACCTCTGTCTCCCCTGTGAAGGAGGAGGTCTTTGTGTGCTTTTGTGTGACGGTTCCACTGAATTCATTACAATAGAGATGGACATTTCATATTCGTAACGATCCAACATCTGAGCAATCTTCTTTCGAGATACACCATGTTTATTCCTCCTACCAAAAAAGAAAAGGATTTTAATTCTTTAGAATGTATAGGCTTAGAGATTAAACTGTTTTAGAGTAACAGAGTACAGATTCTAAATTATATTTTACAAATAAATACTAAAAGATACATCTCATTCACCCACATTTTAGACAAAAAAAATTTATACTGGCTCTCAAAAATTTTAACAATATTTTAAAAAGGTTTAAAGATACCATAAATCACAGCAAAATGTTAACTGATAAAATCTTCCTCACATAAAACTACCAATTCATTGAACCATGGAGTTAATCTTCCCCCCTCTTTTAATAACAAAATCAAAGATTATGAGACAGTGTTTTGGGAATTACAGAGGAACTGAGTGGACTTTTAGGATTATAAAAATCAATATAAAATATCATTTTTCAAAGTTATTTTAGGACACTTCCTTTTGCATTTTTAAAATTTATTATCAATACCAAATTATTATTAGAGATGTAACAACTTGGACATATTTCACAAACAATGTTGAGTGACAGAAACTAGACACAATGAACACATACTGTACTTTATTTACATAAAGTTTGAAAAAAAATTAAACTACGGTGTTAGGCAAAATATGTTTTAGAAAAAAACACACATTAAAGAAAAAGAAAGAAAAAAGACACATTAAAGAGAAGAAAGTAATTATCAGGGAATTCTTACTGGGAAAAGGAATTCAAATAACTTCTGAGGTGTTGATAACATTCTTATAACATGGGTAATGGTTAAATGAATATTTGCCTTTACAAGAAATTTGTTAAGCTGTGTATTTATATTTTATGTAATTTTCTGTGAGTTTAATTATGACAACAAAAAGTGGTTTAAAAATTATTCTTGACCCTCAAAAAACGTTTTACAATTTATTTTACCCTTGTAGTTTTCTATAACTTGACTTGGACATGGCAAAACACATAGGAACATATTTTACATTTAATGTTATAGTTCTAGATTTACTAATGCTAATTAATTTTTCCCAGAAAAGAGACACAAAGGAAACATTAAACTATAGATGTTTATGTTCAAGATGAGAAGAAAAAAGCAAAAGGACTAGAAGACAAAAAAAGAAAAAAGAAGAGGGATCTGAAGTTGAAACTGGCAAGATATGACTAAATCCACAAGATGTCAAAATTGGTAATTGCATCAATTTACCAAAAAAAAAATCTGTCAAACTAATCTACATATCAGTTAAACTGACTTTATTGTGTGAAGTCAATTATATTAAGAATTCTAATAAATTTCAACAGTTCCTCAGTGTTAATGAAGCCTAACTGTATTTCACCAATTCATTTATTCTGCATAACCCAAATAGCTCATCTACCTGAGGTGTATTATACACACAGAAGATGAATAATACTAGTTATTAATAAATCTATCCATTTTACTCACATATGAACACATAGTGTGCAAATCAAAAAGGGAAGAAAGGGTAACCAAATGAATAAAAGGGGAAAAAAAATTAGTTGAACATCATACACAGAATAACATTTAAGCTGAAAGAGGGCAAGCTGAGGTGGGGGAAAAAAAACTGTTTTTTTAAAAAAAGGAAGTTATGGCTGCACAACTCTGTGCATGTACAGTTGACCCTTGAACAACATAGGTTCAAACTGTGGCAGGTCCACTTACATGTGGCTTTTTTCAACAAATATAGTCCAGTAAAAAAGCCACATGTAAGTGGATCTAGGAGGGCACTTGGTGTAATGAGCACTGGGTATTATATGCAACTGATGAATCACTAAACTCTACCTCTGAAACTAATAAAACACTGTATGTTAATTGATTTAATTTAAATAAAAAAATAAAAAGTAAATATAGCATAGTACTGTAAATGTACTTTCTCTTCCTTATGATTTTCCTAATAACAATTTCTTTTCTCTAACTTACTTGATTATAAGAATATGGTATATAATACAGGTAACATACAAAATAGAGGTGTTACTCAACTGTTTATGTTATCAGTAAGGCTTCTGGTCAACAGTAGGCTATTAGTGGTTAAGATTTTGGGGGAATCAAAAGTCATCATCAAAAATGGACTCAAAAATCCATTATCTGTGGATTTCCGAGGCAACTGCACTGAAAACCATAAATTGTAAACTTTTAATGCATAAAATGTAAGGTATGTGAATTACATTTCAAAGTTGTTAGGAAAAGCAGAGAGGGAGAACAAAAACAAAGAAAAAGAGTCAGGAAAACCAGTGACATGAGGGGAAAGGGACAAAGGTAAACACAAATCGAAAGCCAGGGCTGAAAGTAATAAAAGTCCATAATCTCTCACCACAAATTTTGAAATCTAAAAATGGTCTGAAAATTCATTGATTCACATGGCAGCAAAATCTAACCAAACCTATACTCATTTGGCAGCACAATGTATATTTTAATCTAATAGTTTACTCAGAGCGAACATTAGATTATGTAGAATCTTTCTTATCTAATTAGAGGACTAGTAGTGATTTGCCACAGAAAAAATAAGATGTGTGATTATGACATGCTGCCCCAAACTCGGCTAGGGGTATTATGATTCTGTATATGTACCATATTACCTTTCTATTAAAAAAACAAACAAACAAAAACAAACCCTGAATTCTAAAACACACTGATTACAAGGATTTTGGATTATGAATCTACAGATTATGAATCTGTAGTAGTAAAGATGGAAAAGAGAAAGACGATGAAAGCCCCAGGTAAAAAGGTAATGGGAAGAAAAGTTTGAAGGGCAATGCAGGTAAGTGGTCTGCTGAAAACCAGAAGGAAAAGTTCTAACTTTTCCAAAGTGTTCTGGATTTCCACTAGCGTTCAATGAACTACGAAACAATGTAGGAATTTACATATGAAAAAATAACACACACACTTAACAAGGAAAATTTAATAAAACTGACCAAGGCAAGTACCCTAAGAACCCTTAAATTTAAGTCAATGTTCCTCTTGACAGAAAGTTGAGCAGTAGTCCCTATTCACAAATAGCAAACATGACAAGCAAAAGTTAGTAAATAGTAAAGAAACTGTGTAAAGGAGAAGAGAAAGAAAAAAAGATAAAGACTCAAAAAAATTTTTCAAAGATAAGGATTCAAAAAAAATTTGAGTGCCTTACTTTTCTAATTCTTCAGGATCAAATTTCCACCAAGTTTCAGGTTCATGAAACTCTACTCTGTATCCTTTTCCTATGGCCTACACAAAGGAAAGGAAGAAAACAAAAACCCAGAGAATACTTCTTAAAGTAAAAAAGAAAGCAGATAAATAGAAGTTTCATTTAGACAATACTTCTAAATTTGTTTGACCAAGAAACATTTTACTTTTAAATAATATGTCCACAAAAATGTTAAGACCACATAACCGGACAATTTCGAATTACTGTCTTCAAGTCCAGGCAAAACTAACAAGATGAGCATATTTCTTAGTAAGTACCAATCCCAGTTTTTTAAAAACTAAGTTAACGAACACACCTCTTTAGAAAACAGGGACAAATGTTTATGTAATGAAGATCAAAGTAACCAAAATTTCAGAGTATGAAAAAATGAGTTAAGAATAAAATATTAAAACTCTCTCATATCACATATTTACCATTTCCACATATGGTTTCATTTCCCAAGCTTGTGTATTAGTGTTGTCTATTATAACTGGAGATCTCCCCTGATTGATAGCTTGTTTTGCTGAAATAAAAAAATAAATTTAAAAAACAAAAACCAGAGAACTATTAGATTAAAATATACAAAATAAAACTTACACATTCATTATTAAGAAAATTTCTACATCTCTGTACTTAAAACTAAAACTATGCAATTTCCTGAGTTAGTGCGGTGAACAAAAAAAAAAGACTCCACTAGATTAAAAGGGAATTAAGAGACATAACCACAGGCAATGTATATTCTCTGGACCAGATACTGGTTTTAACAATGACATTTGGGGAAAAACATTTTGTTGAACTCACAACTAAGAAAGCCTTCAGTCTCTAGCTAACTTTGATTTATAGGAAATATATGAACAAGTTACTTAGGATACAGTCTGAGTATGAAAAGAGATGAGCCTTTACTGACATGGAAAGATGAAGACTGTTAACTGAATATGGCAAATTATAACACAATATGTAAGTATGACCTTATTTTGGTCAAAATATAGAGATCTAGGAAGAGTTACTAAATATCAAAAGTGGTCATCTGAGGGTAACGGGAATATCAGCAATCTATGCTTATCTGTATTTTCCAAAGTTTTACAATTACAAATAATGCTTCTGAAATAAAAAACTTATATACCAAGTAGCTAAGTACTACAGTTCAACTGACTTTGTAAGTATTTTTTAAGACCAGAATTCTCAAATTAGGAGCTGGGGTCACATGGAAATTTTCTAAACTACATCTTCCTATCCCTTTGCCATCTCTTCCCCAAGAATCCCTGCCACAATGAGCCACTGTTAACAACAGGAGTGTGTGTACCCCTAAGTGTAAATAGACAAGAAACATAATTAAGAACCTACAATAAAATTTAAAAGGCTGAGGCAAAAAGCAATGATATAGAAGTTTTGTTGGGACTTAGAATTCAAAACACTAAGTTCTACATAATGAAAACACTTATACAGATGTCTAAGGGCAGACAGTATTCTAAAGGTTAGTTAAGTAATAATGACTATGGTGGAATACATATTTGGGAGAAAAATATCTCTAAATACGAAAAGAAATTTAGAATTTGGGTCATAAATAGGATATCAAGATGCTATCATCTTACGTTGCTCTATCCCCAATCATAAACTGATCAAATCTTTCATTAAAAAAAAAAAAAACTTACTAACTAATCCTCTTAATGTCTAATGGTTAGGCTGGCACCTCCAAGGAGAAGCTTAAGAATCAAATTAAATCTCTGATTTGCAGGAATGGGGAGATTATCCTCTTTCCATGAAAAATCATCATGTGATACCACATTCCAGTGTACTCCAGGAGGAAAGAGTTCCTAAGTAAATAATGTTTGAATACCCTAATAACGAGAGTCATTTCTTAAACAAAATAACCACCATACTCTAAGAAACAGAATGACACCTCAAAGAGGTTTTTAATTTATAGGTGGTCTAACATGAATTTAAGATTCTTCTAATAATACACATGAAGCATACAGAGATTCCCAGAATGGTAACTGGCATTTTTAAAAGTGTTCAATAAACATCTACTAAAAAGAGAAATTTAGTCCTAAGTAAGTCATGCTTATAATTTTCAAAATGTTCAATAATCGCTAGTTATCATTACCTTGGAAAAATTTATGCTATACTGATAATAAAACCAGCAGTTTATCTAAACACCATTTTTTATTCAGCAAGTATAACTCACATAGCATAAACATTTATTGTAATATTCTAGGCTGGTATTGCAAAGAGAAAAAAATGTCCCATAAAACAAATTTCAGTCCACCAAAGGTATACTGTCTCTGCCCACTGCCTTTATTCATTCCACTCATCACCTACTACTATTTTCCTTAACTTTAGTCCAATAACTCTAAACATTTTTTGGAATTGCAATACCATCATTACTTGATTTACGCAGTAACGTTCCGTGGCATAATGTTCTGTGGAAAACCAATACTAGGAAACAATCTTATAATCAAACTTATTTCACATTAAACTTTTTACTCAAAAATATCCTCACTGTAATTCCTGTGAAAATTGACAATTAAAAATAAAAGCATTCATCCTGTTTTTCCTGTATATACTGTACTAAATTTAGGACAACCCTAATTGCTATTTCTAGGTGAAAGTTCTTCATTACAGAAGAATTCTAGCATGGAAGGAATGTTAGACCTAGAAAATCACCATTTTGCAACCTTTAATGAAAAGTCTCATTCAGGAAACAATTCACTATTGGATAAAACCATTAGACATAAGGTTGATAGGGAACTTGATAATGGAAGGATTAGGCTGTCCCTTTGAAGCTATTAATCAATCTTAATATCACTAAAACTGGGACAACCAGAAATATGCTTACCAAAAAAATAAGTGGAACCTAATAAATCCTCCTGTCTAGAACTAATTTCTATTTAAGGAAATACAGGAGAAAGAAAAACAGGTTAAATAGTTACCACAAGGAAGCGAACAGACAACCACAAAATATGGGACATTCTATAGGACAACCAACCAACTTCTGCAACAAATTAATGTTATAAAGGCAAAAAGAGGGGATAAAAAGAGGAAAGAGATTAATCTACTTAAAAGAAACATAAAACTAAATGTACTGCCAGGACCTGGCTTGTATCCTGATTCAAAAAGAACAACTGTAAAGAAATATGTAAGACAACGGGAAATTTCATTACAGGCTGGGTATTACATGATGTCAAGGAATTGTTTGTTTTTTTGTGTTTTTTTAGGTGTGATGATGGTACTGCAATGAAATAAGATGCCATTAAGTAAAAAAAAGGTTAATTTGAAATGCATGCTATCTGATGTCTAAAATTTGCTTTAAAAACCTTAGCAAATAAAAAAAGGAGGGAGTGTTAAAACAAAAAAGATAAAAGCCAATAAGGCAAAACCTTGATAACTGATAATAATTCTGAGTGATTGGAGGTATGGGGTTCATTGTAACTTAAGTTAGATTCAAATTTTTTCACAATACAAACAATTTGTTTAATCATTAATACATTCTTCGTCTTTTAAAAAAGAACTTACTTAGTTCTAGATCAAAAGTTTTCAATCCTTATTGCAACATTAGAATATCTGGGTAACTTCCCCCAAAAATACTGGTGTTTAGATCCACTCCAGACCAACTAAACCAGAATCTCTGGTGCTAAGATTCAGGCATAAGTTTTTTCACTTTTTATTTTATTTTTAAAATTTTTTAAGATTTTATTTATTTGACAGAGAGAGAGAGACAGCTAGAGCAGGAACACAAGCAGGGGGAGTGGGAGAGGGAGAAGCAGGCTTCCCGCCGAGCAGGGAGCCCAATGCGGGGCTCGATCCCAGAACCCTGGGATCATGACCTGAGCAGAAGGCAGATGCTTAACGACTGAGCCACCCAGGCGCCCCCAGGCATAAGTTTTTTTTAAAAGGTCCCCAGGTGATTCAAATGTGCAGTCAATTCCAGAATGAGAAAAAATTGAGAGATATAGGTCTAAAAAATGCATTATGTAGATTTTTTTGTAGAGTAATGTCAATGGGAAAAACTTTAATATTCACAGGCATTTTATTCCTAGCCTTAGAAAACATTAGCATTACTCTTAGGGAAATACCTTTTGAGAATATACAATAGTATGAAGAGTTGTCTGAATTTATTCATGAGTATAAAATAAAGGATATCAAAATATCCCACACCTCTATTTTACCAGCTTATATGGGTACACTATTTACAATTTACAAAATATACCTATCTAAATTCTAAGGCAAGTGTAACTATCATCACTTCTAATAGACGAACAAATTGGTCTCAAAGCTATTTAAATGGCTTGCCAAAGTCATTCAGCCGGTAAAAGTCAAGTTGAGAATAAAAACTCAAGTCTTCTGACTCCTAGTCAAATATTCCATCCCGGAGACTTGGCCCAAAACAAACCTCTGTTCTGGTTCCAGTCATGGGCATCACCAAGTTGATTAACATTATACCTGTACCCATCTTGATGGTGAAAATAGTCATCAGTGCTGAATACAATGCCATCACGACTCTGACCAAGCAGAATTCTGTTAATGAAAGAAATCATAAGGTGCCATTTATAAAATCTATAACCATCAAAGATAAGTCACACAGGAAAGTTTATTAAATGAATCTCTGGTACTTACCTGTAAGTATATTGCAAACAGAATAGCACAGGAGCTGAACCTTAAAAAGTTTCCAGATTTCAAGTATCACTTCACACTTAAATCTACACAATTACAACCAATAACAAAAACTTTTTAGGTGGCATCTGTACTAAGTGGCATTTGTATTGCCACTTGTAAAAGCACTCTTCAACCAATCCCAAAATTATGTCAACTATTATCCGTGTTTTAACTTTAGTGAATTTTTATGCGGTGTCTAAAATTGCCTAAATTTAGTGCAATAAGTAACCGAAAAAGGCAAATAAGCCTAAACAAGCAATTCATCTGGGGAAAACTCTATTTGACCTAAGATAGCTTTACTAAACTCATGTCCACAAAACGCAAACATATATGACCTAAAAGTGGAAGTCAGAAATAGCTTGAGACTTAAGGTTGTGAAATAACCTGTGATCCTCCAAAGCATAGTCAAACTTTAAAACTGTTAAGAGATTACATTACTAAATGAAGTCAACTGTTAAGCACTAAAGAATACACTCTTCACAATAAATCAATAATCAAATTTCATTCTCACAATATGATACCACCTTAAGTTTCTAAGTACAGATTAACTAGTGTTCAGATTGTCAGAGAATTCCCCAAACCAGTGACTCATGAATGACACTAGGAGTGTGCTGAGAAAAGGTAAAACACAGTTAAGAGAATAATCTGGATCTAACAATAACAGAAATGTTTTGTTTTGTCTCCCCCCCACAAGCCATTAGGCAACTGAGTAACACTCTGTAACTTTCTGAGAGGGGAAGGGACTGGAAAGTGGTAGAAGAGATTGAGAATACAAAAGTATTGTCATGGAATGATTCAAGAATACATACCCCCTAATTCAAAGGAATAAGAAGGACTCTGACTATTAAATAAACATATCTCTCCTTTTCTCAGCTTATTACAAAATTGTATACAGGTATACCTCAGAGATACTGCAGGTTTGGTTTCAGACCACCACAATCATGTATCACAATGAAGGAAATCAAATTAATTTTCTGGTTTCCCAGTGCATAAAAGTTATTACTAAAAAAAAACAACGTATACACCTTAATTCAAAAATATTTTATTGCTAAGAAATGCTAACCATCATCTGAGCTTTCAATGAGTTGTAACCTTTTTGCTGGCATCTTGCCTCAATGTTGATGTAGGCTGACTGATCAGATTGGTGGTTGTGAAGGCTGGGGTGGCTGTAGCAATTCCCTAAAATAGGACAATGAAGTTTACCCCATCCACTGACTCTTTCTTTCCTAAACAATTTCTCTGTAACATGTGATGCTGTTTGACTGCATTTTACTCACAAGAGAACTTCTTTGAAAATCAGACTTAATCCTCTCAAACCCTGCCACTGCTTTAGCAACTAAGTTTATGGAATATTCTAAATCTTTTGTTTTCATTTCAACAATCTTTACAACATCTTCACTAGTGGACTTCATCTCAAGAAACCACTTTCTTTGCTATCCATAATAAGCAACTCCTCATCTGTTCAAGTTTGATCATGAGATTGCAGCAATGTAGTCCCATCTTCAGGCTCCACTTCTAATTCTAGTTCTCTTGCTGTTTCCACCACATCTGCAGTTGTCTCCTCCACTGAAGTCGTGAACCCTTCAAAGTCATCCATGAGGCTGGCATCAACTTCTAAACTCCTCTTCATATTAATATTTTGCCCTCATCCTATGAATCATGAATATTCTTAAGGGCATCTAGAATGGTGAATCATTTCCAGAAGGTTTTCAATTTACTTTGCCCAGATACATCCAAGAATCAGTATGTATGGCAGCTATAGACTTACAAAATGTATTTCTTAATAATAAGACTTGAAATTCAAAATTACTCCTTGATTCATGGGCTGAAGAATGAATGTTGTGATAGCAGGCATGAAAACAACATTAATCTTGTTCTACATCTGCACCAGAGCTTTTGGGTGACCAGGTACATTGTCAGTGAGCAGTAGTATTTTGAAAGGAATCTTTTTTTCTGAGCCATAAGTGTCAACAGTGGGCTTCCAATATTCAGTGAACCATGTTATAAACAAATACGCTGTTATTTAGGCCTTGCTGTTCCATTTGGAGAGCACAGACAGAGTACATTTAGCATAATTCTTAAGGGCTCTAGGATTTTCAGAATGGTAAATGAGCACTGGCTTCAACTTAGTCACCAGCTGCATTAGCCCCTGAGAAGAGTCAGCCTCTGTTGAAGCTAAGGCACTGACTTCCCTGCTCTACCTATTAAAATCCTAAATAGCAACTTATTCCAGAAGGCCATTTGTCTACATTGGAAATCTGCCATTTAGTGTAGCCACTTTTGTTGATTATCTTAGCTAGATCTTCATTAATTATCTCCGCTAGATCTTGCTGCAGCTTCTACACCAGCACTTGCTGTTTTTCCTTGTACTTTTATGTTACGGAGACAGCTTCTTTCCTTAAACCTTGTGAACCAACCTCTGCCAGTTTCAAACTATTCCCTGGTAGCTTCCTCTTTCAGCCTTTAGAGAACTGCAGTTAGGGCCCTGGGTTAGGCTTTGGCTTAAGAGAATGTTGTGGCTGGTTTGATCTACTATCCAGACTATTTCAACTTTCTCCATACTAGCAAGGCTGTTTTGCTTTCTTACCATCTGTGTGTTCATTGGAGTAGCACTTTTAATTTCCTTCAAGAACATTTCCTCGCACTCACAATTTGGCTGCCTGTTTGGCTCAAGAAGCCTATCTGGACTTTTGGCATGCCTTCCTCACTAACCTTAATCACTTCCAGCCTGTGATTTAAAGTGAGAGATGTGCAACTCTCCCTTTCACTTGAACACTTTGAGGCCATTGTAGGGTTATTTATTGGCCTAATTTCAATATTGTTGTGTCTCAGGGAATAGGTAAGGCCTGAAAACAGGGAGAGATGGGAGAAGAGCAGGTTGGTGGAGCAGTCAGAATACACATTAACACTTATCAATTAAGTTTGCCATCTTATTATACGGGCACAGCTCATGGCACCCCAAAACAACTATAATACTAACATCACTGATCATGGATCACCATAACAAATACAATAATAAAAAAGTTTGAGGGCGCCTGGGTGGCTCAGTTGGTTGGGCGACTGCCTTCGGCTCAGGTCATGATTCTGGAGTCCCGGGATCGAGTCCCGCATCGGGCTCCCTGCTCGGCGGGGAGTCTGCTTCTCCCTCTGACCCTCCCCCCTCTCATGCTCTCTCTATCTCATTCTCTCTCAAATGAATAAATAAAATCTTTTAAAAAAAAAAGTTTGAAATATTGTGAGAATAACCAAGTGACATAAGGACACTAAGTGAGCAAATGCTATTGGAAGAAAGGAGCCAAAAACTTGCTCGACACAGGGTTACCACGAACCTTCAACTTGTAAAAAGTGCAGTATCTATGAAGTACAATTAAAAAAGTTATGCCTGTATATTTTATAATAAAAATAAAATTGCAGAGACAAAAATAAAAAGATTTAAACATGCATTTCCACTTACAGAATTACAGTTCAAATTATTTCAAGCAAAGCAAATGAAATTAAATGGTTGTTTGTGAGGCTAGAGTTGGATTTCTTTCTTAAATCACCATAATTTTTCCAAAATACACCACCTAACATATTTGGCACCTTATTTGTTTATAAGATAACCTAGAATATAAAACTGCTACAATATGAGGCACGTGGATGGCTCAGTCAGTTAAGCGTTCAACTCTTGATCTCAGCTCAGGTCTTGATCTCAGGGGTGTGAGTTCAAGCCTCGTATTGAAAAAAAAAAATATGCTACACTATTAGCATTCCAAACCAAAGCTCAATCACCTAAAATGATTCTGATCATAATCAACCTTATGATAACCTAATTATATTTAACAGTACCAGAAAACTGATACCATCTTTCTTAGATACCGTTTCATTTTTTCCATTCTATTACTTTATTTGCGTGATTTTTCAGATGTTAAATACCATACTATAAGAGTAGAGTAGCTTTCGTATCCAAGAAATGTTTTAACCTCAAAAAAGGTGGGGATGGGGGAGGCGTGGAGAAAGAGGGTAGGAGACAGCACATCAATTTACATCATTAAACCAAGTAAACATCAAACATGAATAAACCTCTTTGAAGAACATCTTAAATATATAAATCATAATTATAGCAAATAATTTTAGCTTGGAGAGAGACTTTTTCTTTCCAGTCTGTTCATGCAGCTTTTTAAAATTCCATGAATTATCTCAAACTATGAAGCTTTATTTTGGGGACTTATATTAAAAAAGTACTTATGATCAATTTGGATATATCTGATGCCATACAAACCATCTGAATAAAAGATAAATTACTTAGGAATATTAGTATTTTCAAAATTCTTGTAGTCAGATTCTATTAAAACTCTCACAAGTAAGGTATTAAAATGAATTCTCCAAACATCAAAACTTAAAACTCTGAAAAATGAAGTATCTACTAAAAAAAAATCAGATATGGGCCCACTCGCTACTTGATTTGTATTTTTTCTGAATGTCATGACCCATTTAATATTCATAACAACCTTGCTAATTTCATATTTACTAATCCAGAAAAAGAAAATGACTTCAGAAATCAGGCCACCAGAGTTACATAGCTGCGTGGGAGAGCCAAAACTAATGGCTTACAATGATCCCTGCCTCCTGGTATTCACACTCTTATATAATTCCTTCCCCTTGAGTGTGGGTGGGAGTCAGTGACTAGCTTCTAACTAATAGAATATGGCAGTTGACAGAATGTCACTTCTGATATTAGATTACAGGAAAAAAAAGTGGCTTCTGTCTTGGACTCAGAGCTGGCTCACTTTGTCTCATCATGCTGTGTGTGGAAAGCAGCCCAGGGAGCAAAGAATCAAGAGAGGTCTCCAGCCTGTATATAGCCAGCAACCAACGGAGACCCTCGACCTAACAGCTCACAAGTAACTTAAGTCTTGTCGACAACCTCAAGGGAGATCTTCCAAGAAGATCCACCCCAAAATAAACCTTCAGAGCAGAACACAGCCCTAGCCAACACCTTAACCACAGCATTGTTAAAGACCTTGACCCAGAGGCACCTAGATAATTCACGCAGACGCCTGTCCTTCAGAAACTGTAAGATGATAAACGTTTGTTGCTTTAACTCAGTTTTTAATAAGGTAATTTGTTACACAGCCAGATAACTAATCCAGTCTGTGCTTATAATTCTTCACTGAAGTAAGAACAAGTGAATCCTGTTCCTTAACCCTGTTTTGAGAACCCTACTTCCCCAAATGGCCTATTATGAGTTAATTTTCATAGTTTTTTTTTCATACTTCATTTTTACAACTTCTAAGAACTGTACATTATTTTAATACATCCATGTGCATTTACAAAGAGAAGTGATTTCTCAAAAAAATCTGAGCAGAACTGACACTTCATGAACCCTTTACCTCCTTATTTACTGAGTGGCCCCTGCATACCCCTACCCCAAAACCACTTTACTGGGGCACCTCATTCTCTAAACACTCCTTAAATTAAGAATAGAGATCAACATAAGGAAAGGTCAATCTTTCCCCTGGAGTTTAAACTGAGATCTTCTCCAAAAGCAGGGAGGAAAAAAAAAAAATCTCTTCCCATCTCTCTTTAAACTGTAATTTCTTATGGCTGCTATAACAAATTACCACATATTTGGTGGCTTAAAACAACATGCACTTATTGTATTATAGTTCTGAAAGTCAGAAGTCTGAAATCAGTTCCACCGCGCTAAAATCAAAGGTATGGGTAAGCTGGCATTCCTCCTGGAAGCTCCAAAGGAGAACCTGTTTCCTTGCCAAATTTTTCAGCTTCTAAAAGCCACCCGCATATCTGGGCTCATGGTCCCTTCCTCCATCTTCAAAATCAGCAGTGTAACATCTTCTCTCCTCTCTGAAAGTGCTTCAGTGTTTATCTCTGATCAACTCCCAACATTCTGCTGATATAATAATGAAATTAGTGGCCTGTTTCTGAAAATACATTCACTCATTGGTGAAATCAGTAGAGTAGAAGAAATGCATATTAGCTAAAATATTTTAGGTTCACCCTTTCTCCTCATATGAACAGGGTATATGAATCTAGCAAAATCTATAGCCCAGACCCCTAGGAATGACACCCAAGGCTTGATCCCTGAATGGTCCTGTGTCAACCACAGACTCAGAGGATTCTGTTTAGCTGATGTCAATTACAATGGTAACAAAATTCCACAGCTAGAAATTGTTGAATTCTGCCTGAAATAAACCTTTCATCAAAGCGCTGTCAGTTTGCCTAAAAGGACAAAGAGCTAGCACTTTCACATACCTACAAAAGTGTATGAACTGTTTTGCACTAGCTTATTAATAAATATTTAAAGTCTGTGCTTGTGTTAGAATTTAACCTAAAACTTACTTCATTAAAATCTGTTAGCAAATTTGTGGGTAAACAATTAAGTAAAAACTTGGTAACGATAAGTACTATATGAGTTCAGAAGGATTATGGAAGACTGAGATGATAAACCAAAACCTCAAAAAGCAGAGGCGTTTGAGAGAACCTTTGAATAAGAGTCCTGAGAACAATGAATGAACAAGTATTATGTCTCCTGCAGTGGAGGGTAGGTGCTAGTCCAAATGCAGAAGGACAAGAAGACAAAGAGGTGGGTAAGGACTAAATTAAGGAAGAAGAGGACTTGAAAACTACCCCCAAAGAATCTGAACTTTACCCTCCTATACTCATTACCACGCAGCAATACTAAACAATGCTATCTTTTAATTTAGTGCCCCAAATCAACCCAACTTTGATCTACCAAATCTTCACTCCTTTCTTTCTAAAGCTAAATCCTATGTAAAGCCATTTCCCCACCACAGAATATCTGGCTTTCTATCCAGTCCCAACCAACCAATCTTACTTCATTCAAAATGTGGTGACCTAAACAGCTACTCCTGATTCTTTAAACAAGCTCCTGAAAGCCAGGAGACAGTTATAGGACCATGCATGCAATAGATACTAAAGTGAAGGAGCAGGGAAGAAACACGCTATCATTTATATCTCTAGTTTGACCTCCTACCAGTTCTTACAACTTCTCCCAAGCCCTTTAACCCAAACTTATTCTCTTAAGCCTCTGCTCCTTCTATGAAATGAAAATAACACAACCCATTTTACAAGATTTTTATATATGAAAGTACTCTGTAAACTGAAATCATGACACAAATGGTAGTTACTACTATTCTTTTCTTACAACATACATCTGATTCCTCAAATATATGTATTATATATATCACCTCCATCATCTCCCACTACAATTACACCTCCTTGAAATTCTATTGCAATACCACTACTTTATTCATCTTCAGTTTCAACATACCCCAATGTTGTTCCAAATCTAATCTTTCTTTCTTACATTTATTCTATACCAACGCATAGTCAAGTGACCCTAGCTAGGAGATTCCTTCACACAATTTCCAAATTTCAACTATTTCTTTCCTCTGATATTACATTCTAAATCTAAGAGACTGCCTGTGTTTGTGACACTTCATTCTTAATTTCTATCCTTTCTAAAGAGTTGAAATTTCACCTTCTCTACAAAATCTTCATTAATATAAGAATAGGGGCTCCTGAGCGGCTTGGTTGGTTAAGCGTCTGCCTTCAACTCAGGTCATGATCCAGCGCTCCCACCCCCTTGTCTGGCTTCCTGCTCATGGGGTCTGCTTCTCCCTCTCCTTCTCCTCGTGCTCTCTCGATCTCTTTCTCTAACTAAATAAAGTCTTTTTTTTTTTTTTTAAGATTTTATTTACTTATTTGTCAGAGAGAGCGAGAGAGCACACACAAGCAGGGGGGGCGGCAGGTAGAGGGAGAAGCAGGCTCCCCGCTGAGCAAGGAGCCCGAAGTGGGACTCGATTCCAGGACCCTGGGATCATGACCTGAGCTGAAGGCAGACGCTTAACCGACTGAGCCACCCAGGCGTCCCAATAAATAAATAAATAAGAATAAAAATGCAAAATTCAAATTCATTTACAAAGATCACAGCTTACAGGCTAGCTTGAAATGTATCATAAATTTAATCTTTCTTTAATTTACTGCTTCTGAAGAAACTTCTGTTCAGACTGTTTTGCAAGTAAATATAAAACATTTACGTAATGGTTCTTTGGATTTTATCCTTGCTGGAAGACATCAAACAATTTTCTTTTTCGCTTGATCAGTCATAAATCCTGAATCATCCTACAAAAACTGCCAAGAATTTGTATTGTTTTTCTTTGTACTATTTTTCACAACTGCACAAATGAATTCAAGTGCATCAATATTCTTTTTTAAAATGCAAACAAAAATAGGAATTTGAAACATTCTGTCATACAATAACAATAAAACATAACCAGTTCTAACTCTATTTAACTCAGGTATTGCTCACTTCAGACTCCTGAAACTTAAACAAAAAAAGAGTTCCCTCTGCCAATCAAAGATATGAACCTGCACAGTGCTGAAAACAAACTCACAGCTCCTTTTCCTTGGTTTATCTCATTTGCTTCTCACAATTATTCCAGAAAAATAAGTATTACCCTTTCTATTAACAGATAGCAAAACTTGTCCAAGGCCATGAAGTTTGAAATAACTTGGTCAAAAGCTCAAATCTTCCAACCCTAAGTCCAGCTCTGCTTGGATAGCTGACTTAAAAAGGAAGGCGAGTACAGTTCTCAAATAGCATTTACTTACATCACTGTCGTAATTATACACGGTGTATCTATTTTTAAAATCCTTAGCAGAATCTTTATATGTCAATTCTTCATTCCTCCATCAGAAAACATCTTTTTAAATATTTACACTGTCAGATGTCATTCTCAAGTGTAACAAATTAAAGATTTTCTATTAGAAACATGAAAGCATTTGTCATTGAGAACTACTATCATCCATGATTTTTAAGTAATGAATTACCAAGCATTTACTTGGTATCCTTTACTCACCGAGACAACGTTGTTTTCCCAGAACCAGGCAAACCTCTTAAAAGAATAAGTAACTTCTGCAATTTATTTAACTTTTCATCTTGAAACTGCTGGTTCATAAGCCTGTCTGTTCCATTATGCTTGTCCATAGAAGGATCTTTCCAGCATCCTTCCCTGGTTTCACAGAAACCGTTACTCACATATGCATCTTGCACACTGTAACCATTTGTAGAGGAATCATCTCTATTGGGATTCTCACTACAGTCAATATAGTCATTGTTCTGATCAAAAGTCAAACAATGCCAGTTAATGTGACCACTATTTACATAATACCCATTTTGATGCTGAGACCCATCTGGAGCATGGAAAATATTTGATGGTGGATTTAGTGGAGCACTAAATCTTTGCATATTTAAATGACAGTTAAAAATGGGAGGAGGAGGAGGACCTTGGGGTACTATAAAATAATGCACTGACTGCCATTCAGGCCTGAAGGAAATTAACGAATCTTCACAAAATGCAGGTATTACTTGTCCATTACAAGGATATTTGCCTGGTTCATTCTCCACCTGCTGCTGAAAACCACAATGTGACTGAAGAACATTACTAGTATCTCTTTCCTTTCCTTCTTCAGATTTTAACAGCTCATTATAATGGTCCTGATAATGCGTAATAAGTTTTTCCTCAGAGGGTTTGGGTTCTTTACAACTGCCTTCCAAATCATCTTTTTCATTTTCAAGCTCTTCAATTTCCTTGTAAAACTGGAATAATTCGCTGTCAAGCTCTGATTTTTTGGAGTTGAATTTCTGTTTCTGTTCTTGTCCTCCTTTGCCATCTGTACCACTGATTGCATCTGAGTGATTTCCCCTTTCATTATATTTCTTCTTCTCAGGAGGTTTGTAAATGGGTCCTATAAATGCTTTACTTGTGCTATATATCTCATCATCTTTGGATACCAATGCAGGACTTGCATCCTGTAAAACTTGTGGATCAATGGATTCAATAACATCTGATCTACTATTGCCAGGAATCTCATCGTGCACAGGTTTCACCAAGTCTGTAGTTTTGGTGTTGTCCTCCTGAGGATAACTATGCCCTCTGACATCAACAATGGTCACAGGGACCCAATCATTCCCAGTTTTCTCTTGGATTCTGTGAAAATTAGCACTACCATGATGGGAGAAAACATAAGCCTCTTCAGTTGACTTCAGTTTTTTATAGCATGGTTCACCTGTTAGTTCTTCACCATGATCCAAGGATTTCACTTCAATTTCACCATAAGGCATCTGAGGAGCAAATAAATCATGTAATTAATAACTAATATTTTAAAAATCTAAACAAAGTTTTTCAGAAACAAGAAAACAGAAACGACATTTAAATGGTAAATTTTCCCAAAATACAAAAACTACAAAACTGTAATTTTAGAACCACTTACTATTTAAGTATTGTTATAATGATTTAGGGAGGGGCCTCACTGAAGGTAAGTATCTTTCTTAAAAAAGATATATCTCACATTTAATCCAAATGATGCATTTTTTTATAGATTTTATTTGTCACAGAGAGAGAGCAGAAGGAGGGGGAGCGGCAGGTAGAAGGAGAAGCAGGCTCCCTTCTGAGCAAGGAGCCCATGCAGGACTCAACCCCAGGACCTGATCAGGACCTGAGCCCAACGCAGATGCTTAAAGGACTGAGCCACCCAGGCATCCCTAAATACATTTCTGAACTTAAAAACTTGAAGAATTTAAGTAAGTTTGGAAAATTGAATCAAAAATATATTTTGATGATATACACAACTGTGTACTAAGATGGAGAGTAAATCTGCCAGCCAAACTGACACCTATCCAAACTGGTTTTAATAAATGTCTTCATAAACTCTTATTGTTTAAAACCACTATATCCTTCGGAGTAAATGGATCCAGCTCCCAAACCTCAGCATCTCCTCAGCAATCAAACGTTAGATACTCAAATGCCTAACTTTACAGACCCTTTTCCTGTGAATAATATGAGTGGTTTCCAAATGGGTGTACAGCATTAATTAAAAAAAAAAAAAAAAAACTTCAGTTGCACTAAAAATGACTCAAATATATCAAACATTTCATGTATCACCTGAGTCCCCTGGCCTTCTGACCTCCAAAGAAGATGGCCCGGGCAAAACTGCGTCACCTAATGATATATATAATTTATATATAAATCTGGCAACTCCCCAAATCAATGCGTTCATCTTTTCCACATGCCTGGTCAATCTGGAAGATAAATTCTCCTTCCCTTGAAATTTCTTAGGGGCCCTCAAAAGTGCAATCCCAAACGCTGGTTTACTCAATACTTCATTCTGCCCGCTCTCTGGTATTCCTCCAACAGGGCAGAACAAGAAAAAGCCAAAAAAGGCGAACTAGACAACAAAACAAGTAGGCCCAAAGAAACTGAAAAAAAAAAATACGACTGTAAAGAACGCGGTCCTATCGGAAACGCCCCCCCCCCACCCCGACCACTTCCCAGCTTCTCAAATTTACTCATTCGAAATACCATAAAAGTCTCAAGGAACAGCAAGACGGTTGCATTAACAGAGCGTGGCCTATACACAACCTGAGTCCCCTGGCCTTCTGACCTCCAAAGGAGGTGGCCCGGGCAAAAGTGCGTCACCCAGTTTCTTTCTCCCAACGGAGACATGTTCAGGTTCTGTCTAGGAATTCAAGAGATATCCTAGCCTCAAAGGTTCACCCCGGGCTTCCCCGTTTACGGCTAATCAAAGGTTCCAGCCAAGAGCAGACGAGAAGCCAAAAAACCCGAAAAACGTCACCACCATTACCCCACCCTTACTTAAAATGGGATGTTTACTCACCTTACACTACATTGACTTTTACCTCGCAATAAAATCGTGGTCTAGAAAGATACGAACATCTGAAAAGGTGAAAGCAAAGCGCAAACACCCCCCAAAGCACAGAGAAACTAACACCCAAACCCTCAGCATCTGGGAAACTGCACCGCCGTACGCAAGATGGCTGCCACCTCGCGCTTACCCCGGCAGAAATTACAGATTTGCGCTCGGCATTGTGGGAACTGAAGTCCAGCGTTCACACTGGGCCTGTTAACCTCAGTCCTCGGAGACTGGGTCTCCCAGAATCCATTGCGTGATATACACAGAAGCGATAACCAACGTAAACCCTAACTAGTTCCTAGATTTGGAGCTGGGAAGTTATTTAGAACTGTCAACTTTGGCTAAAAAAGGCAGCGACCCGCTCTGGAATTCATCCGTAAAGGAAAAGAGAACGTGAGTGCCTGGCACCCAGATACATAGGCCGCTCGCAGTGCATGCATTTAAGACTTTCTAGGATACAAAGACTCAGGCTTTTCAAAGGGGTCTCCACATTTGGTATCACCAAGTAGGGTTGCTGGCGTTTCTCTGAAAAACCACTAGGTAATTTCAGGCTCACGTTCTTCTATCCCTGTAAACAATCACTGCAGCAGAGCCTTGAGTACTTATGAGAAAGTTATTTCGTATCGTAACTGTGTTGTGTTTTGTTTTGAGAAACAAAGACCAATTACTGAGCGTTCCCACTTAAAGAGTCAATTTCTGACAAGCACTTAGAACAGCAGCAGGTAAAAAAAAAAAAGAACAATTTGGCAATCCTCAGCTCAGAATCCCATCTCTTCCCACCACCTCCCCACACTCTCCATGCCCGCTCCCTCCCCTGCATTCTTTCCTGCCACTACAAGTAAACTGCTAATATCTTCGTATTGGAATAAATCTTTCTGTTGTGGTAGTTTCTAATTTATAAATATAACAGTTAAAATCACAGTCTGGAATATTTGCATTTGATTATTTAACATCTTTATGACCAAGAGGGCTTAGGTTTATGACCAAAGCAATTCATCCCCTTACAAAGAGACTCTTCTCAAATACAAATTCCCACATCAACCTTTGATGTTTCCTCGTAGTTAGATCCAAGTTATGCATCCTCGGTGGAAACAACCACGTAAGTGAAGTTGTGTCTTTCTCAAGGTATTATATTTGGAGGTTCAGGATGTATGTCCATTATAAGATGATATTAATCTTTATCACCGTATCAAGGTGTTTTCCAGGTTCTCCACTGTTTATTTTATCCCTTGCAACTAATAATCTATGAAAAGCTACTTTGAGACCAAGCAAATACCTTGCTCCTAATCAAACTCTACCTTGTGGTTCAACCTCCCTTGGATGATCTTGCTGCAACCGATCTTTACAATGATGGTTACAAACTAGCTTTTTCCCCCCACCTAATTCCTTCAAGGACTCCACATTTATTTCTGATGATGCTACTATAAAGAAGAGCTCTCCTTATTTACTATCAGCATGGATTTATGTTTTCCTTTTTGTTCAAGAAGTCCATAAAAAAATCCATTACTGTCTTTTATTATTTAGTTAGTTAGTTAGTTACTTATATTAGACTATTTTGAGGACAGTTTTAGATTTACAGAAAAATTGAGTAGATGAAGTACACAGTTCCCATGTACCACACCCACCCACGTTTCCCTTATTATTAACCTCTTATTATGATGATACATTGTTATAATTACTGAACCAAATATTGATACATTCACATGAATTAAGTCCATAGTTATTTCTTTAATTTTTACCTAATCCCCTTTCTGTTCCAATATCCCTTCCAGGATACCATATTACATGTAGTTGGCATTTCTCTTTAGGCTCTTCTTGGCTGTGACAGTTTCTCAGACTATGCTTGCTTTTGATGACCTTGACAATTTGGGGGAAAACTGGTGAGGTATCTTGTCTGATGCCCTTCTACTGGAATTTATCTGGTGTTTTCCCATGATTAGACTGGGGTTATAGGTTTTTGAGGGGAAGATCACAGAGGTAAAGTTAAAGTGTCACTTTCATTACATCATAGCAGGGGTACATACTACCAACATAATTTATGATTGTTTATGTTAAACTTGGTCACCTGGCTAAAGCAGTTTGTCAGAGTTCTCCACTGTAGTTTTTCCCCCTTTCCATACTGTACCTCTTGGAAGGAAGTCACTGTGCACAGTGCACATTTCTGGTTGTTAATCTCCCCCTCCCTTACTTGTATAATTTATTTGGAATTCTTCCACATGGGATATTGTTCTGTTCTTCCCCATCCTTATTTTGATCCTCAAATCATCAGATTTGGCCAGCTTCAGGTTGGCTCTCTTTGACCTGGGGGCACCTGGGTGGTTCAGTCCATTAAGTGTCTGCCTTCGGCTCAGGTCATGGTCTCAGGGTCCTGGGATCGAGTC